TACATACATACATACATACATACATACATACATACATACATACATACATACATACTACGCCCACACACATACCATACATACCATAAATATTATATACATGCATAGACGTACATACTTATAAAGTATAAAAGCGTTTTTGTGACCAGTTTGTATCCAATAAAAATAGCACTTGTTAGGGAAGTAAGTATGAAATAACACACGTATCCACCAATTGACTTTGGACTTTCAATTGACATTGGATTTTCAATAATCGTAAACGATGTATTTCAGGAAAATAAGAAAGGGCAGAAATAGAAATGCCACACAGTGCTATGAATGAGGCAGCAAGAGAAATCGGGATACGTGAATAAAGATTGCCATTGTATTTTCATACATACTAGTTCGGCACTTATATGACCTTATTGTGTTGCGAGTGCCGTAAAACTCATACTAAAACTAATACATACTAGACACAGACCCTTTTACGAACGGTGATATAGTGATAGGAAGGCCCAAGGTAAATTGTTTGTACCGGTACCTGATTCATTGCCGTAGGACCTCTGCGTAGGCAACATTGCTGGTATATACGCCATCTGGAACTCCGTCCTGGGCAGCAGGTCTGTTTGCATGTATCCTAATAGATTCCCTGGACCCAACACGACTCTTTGCGACATTTGTCCATGGGAAAAAATCGCTCTATAAAGAAATCCTATCCTTTTCAAAGTCTGTCCCTGAGCTTTGTTGGCAATCATTGCTAAAGCAGGTCTAACAGAAATTGTTTCCGCATATGGAAGGGAAATATGTTGTCTGAAGGCATTAGGGGAATCCTTGGAATGAAAAGTCTCTTTTCGGCATGTAGACCGCAAGCAACGACAGCATCAATTACATGTTGATGAAGGTGTTAGACCACATAGCGAGTCTCGTTGCAGTGGCCGTTTGTGGGATCCAGATTTCTCAGCAACATGACAATGCTGTCTTTCCGCAATGACAGTTTGTGGGGTAGCATACCTGACGGACATAGAGAATTGATAAATTCGATGGGGTATTGGTGTTCATTTTCTTCCACCGAATCACTGATCCGGCAGTTTTTTTCTCTTCCAGGAAAGGACTTCATGATCAGGTTGTTGATTCTGTCTACTTCTGTGCTGGTGGGACAGATGATGTAGCGGGAAGCCAGCTAGTCAGGATTTGTGGTTGACTTGAAGTTACTGAACACAAAATTTATCAACTCTCGTTCACTCTTTACTGTGATGTCATCTGACAGTTTTATCGCAAACTCCTGCATTTGCTAGCATACATTGTGTTTGCCATCACCAGATAGTTGGAGAAATCAGCAGTCTCACCTGTAAGCGAAACCCTCATGTTTCTTGTCATTCTGAGCACATTAACATGCTCCAACAGATATGATGGTTTCAGCGTTGCATTGACTATCTGTGATCTTGAGCCATGGCAAACTACTGGTAGTATTTGGCGCTACTCACCTGACATCAGCACATTTAGCCCACCGAACAGAGAGTTATTCCCACATATGTCTTTAAGTGTCCGGTCTATGGCTTCAAATATGTGTTTGTGGCCCATCGATACTTCATCAATGATGAGCAGCTCTGTTTGGCGTGATCATAATGATTTATTACTCAACGATGTACCTTATCCCACTTCTTCCGTATATTTCCCCATCTTCTTTAAAGTGAAGAGGAAGACAGTACTAACTAACGCTAACATTACTTAAACGCAATCACACACAATCACTCATCACCACCATTATTTCTAAAATCATCACCGCGCTCAGATCAATGACTTACATATTTATACGCACTTTTTTCTACTAATTTGATGGCGTCAACCTCATAATAAATGGGCAAGGGATTTTTTAAAAAAGTGCTTCATCCTCGAAAGTGCGTATTTGCATACTACAGGAAGTAGGCTGCTCACGTTGGCGTCTGTGGTGTTGCGCTGAGACAAATGGCGTCGTACTCGGAAGATCTGAATTCGATTCTCACATGGGATAATTTTTATCGAGTATCTCGGGTTTTCTGTTGGCACGTATCCCTCTCAGCTCAGGATGGCTCTGACAAGCAGGGTCGAACCTCGCCTCTTAATTGATCAAAATTATGTCGTCGACAGCGTAAAACATATATAATCTAGATCTAGATTTAGGCCTGTTAGACTAGATCTAGATCTAGATCTATATTGATTTTTTTATTAAACCCCCCCCCCCCCCACAAAACCCCCCTTACCGAGATTAGCCTTCTTTAGGAAAACTAAACCAAGCCAAAACAAAACAAAACCCCCCAAAACCCCAGCTTACTCGCTTTACGCCGCTTGGCTCACTGAGATCAATGCACTGACCTCCGTTCTGGCAAGGCTGACTGTTGCACACGTTTTTGACACGCACTCTGGCTTGCACAGCATGATAACAGAGGTCGCCGGCACTGCTCACAAGGTATAACATAATAAGCACGTGCATGAGCTTCATGATGTTCATGTCAGTTTGTCGTGCGTACACGCTCCGTGTGTTGGTTCACATTTCGGGCGATATATGAGGAAGGAGGACAAATCTTGCATTTTGATAGGTTGGAGACACAGAGTTTATTAAGACAACGTGACCGTGTTTTACAGGCCATGTCGTGTACGGCGACGCACACGAAAATCTTCCTTGTGTTTTGTGGTTGTCTTGAAGTTGAAGTCGGCCATCTTGGCTCTTTCAGTTCCGGGTTTACACTTCGGTGCATAATGGTGCAGTTGTGTCGGGAGGGAAATATCAGAACGTAAATAATTCATGAGTGGCTGCTAGGAGGGAGAGAGAGAGAGAGAGAGAGAGAGAGAGAGAGAGAGAGAGAGAGAGAGAGAGAGAGGGGGGGGAGAGAGAGAGAGCGAGAGAGAGAGAGAGAGAGAGAGAGAGAGAGAGAGAGAGAGAGAGAGAGAGAGAGAGAGAGAGACATTTCAAAGATTTTAAAATGACTTATTGATTCGAAAGGCATCCACACATTTTAACATATGGCTCGGCAATTACATACATTTGTGCAGCACATCGGATATTTAACTTAAATTGGGCACGCACACACACACACACACACACACACACACACACACACACACACACACACACACACACACACACACACACACACACACACACACAAACACACACACACACGCATGCACGCACGTACGCACGCACACACGCACGTGACGCATGCACATACACACATACACACTCGTACTCACTCACATTATATACATAAACTCATACTCACTCACTCACATACATACATACATACATACATACATACATACATACATACATACATACATACAAACATACATACAAACATACATACACACATACATACATACATACATACATACATACATACATACATACATACATACATACATACATACATACATACATACATACATACATACATACATACATACTACGCCCACACACATACCATACATACCATAAATATTATATACATGCATAGACGTACATACTTATAAAGTATAAAAGCGTTTTTGTGACCAGTTTGTATCCAATAAAAATAGCACTTGTTAGGGAAGTAAGTATGAAATAACACACGTATCCACCAATTGACTTTGGACTTTCAATTGACATTGGATTTTCAATAATCGTAAACGATGTATTTCAGGAAAATAAGAAAGGGCAGAAATAGAAATGCCACACAGTGCTATGAATGAGGCAGCAAGAGAAATCGGGATACGTGAATAAAGATTGCCATTGTATTTTCATACATACTAGTTCGGCACTTATATGACCTTATTGTGTTGCGAGTGCCGTAAAACTCATACTAAAACTAATACATACTAGACACAGACCCTTTTACGAACGGTGATATAGTGATAGGAAGGCCCAAGGTAAATTGTTTGTACCGGTACCTGATTCATTGCCGTAGGACCTCTGCGTAGGCAACATTGCTGGTATATACGCCATCTGGAACTCCGTCCTGGGCAGCAGGTCTGTTTGCATGTATCCTAATAGATTCCCTGGACCCAACACGACTCTTTGCGACATTTGTCCATGGGAAAAAATCGCTCTATAAAGAAATCCTATCCTTTTCAAAGTCTGTCCCTGAGCTTTGTTGGCAATCATTGCTAAAGCAGGTCTAACAGAAATTGTTTCCGCATATGGAAGGGAAATATGTTGTCTGAAGGCATTAGGGGAATCCTTGGAATGAAAAGTCTCTTTTCGGCATGTAGACCGCAAGCAACGACAGCATCAATTACATGTTGATGAAGGTGTTAGACCACATAGCGAGTCTCGTTGCAGTGGCCGTTTGTGGGATCCAGATTTCTCAGCAACATGACAATGCTGTCTTTCCGCAATGACAGTTTGTGGGGTAGCATACCTGACGGACATAGAGAATTGATAAATTCGATGGGGTATTGGTGTTCATTTTCTTCCACCGAATCACTGATCCGGCAGTTTTTTTCTCTTCCAGGAAAGGACTTCATGATCAGGTTGTTGATTCTGTCTACTTCTGTGCTGGTGGGACAGATGATGTAGCGGGAAGCCAGCTAGTCAGGATTTGTGTTAGACTGGAAGTTACTGAACACAAAATTTATCAACTCTCGTTCACTCTTTACTGTGATGTCATCTGACAGTTTTATCGCAAACTCCTGCATTTGCTAGCATACATTGTGTTTGCCATCACCAGATAGTTGGAGAAATCAGCAGTCTCACCTGTAAGCGAAACCCTCATGTTTCTTGTCATTCTGAGCACATTAACATGCTCCAACAGATATGATGGTTTCAGCGTTGCATTGACTATCTGTGATCTTGAGCCATGGCAAACTACTGGTAGTATTTGGCGCTACTCACCTGACATCAGCACATTTAGCCCACCGAACAGAGAGTTATTCCCACATATGTCTTTAAGTGTCCGGTCTATGGCTTCAAATATGTGTTTGTGGCCCATCGATACTTCATCAATGATGAGCAGCTCTGTTTGGCGTAATAAAGTGCCACTGGCATCTTGGGGACTCACACTGCACATGGACTGTTCGTTCATACTAAGGGGTATTTTGCATCTGCTGAGTAATGTTCTGCTATTTGAGAGCAGAGTTATTAGCAAAGCCTGACAGAGCTGTAGCAAAGGCGATCTTCTTAAAGGAATGGACAGCCGCAAGAATTAGGTTTATAGTGTGGGTTTGTCCAGTCCCTCCACTTGCCTCTACTAGGGCAAATATCTTGCTTTGCTTCTGTACAACTGACTCTATCAAAGCATCATATTCGACTCTTTGTTCTTCATTAAGCTTTAGGTACTCTTGACTCCCCTTCTCTCTCTCAGGTTGAAGTTCATTCAAAATGTCTGGCCGTAAAATATGTGACAGTCTCACCCTATCCTGAAGTTCTGTGGCAGAGTCATGAAAAAAAAATATGTGCAAGCTTTGGTTCAGTTCCAGCAGTGGGAAGAAGATTTCTTAATCGATGATACGGCTTGCCCTGAATTTTGAAGCTTGTTCACTGCACCCAATTGAAGCAAGGGTGAGAGCATTATTGTATGACCTACAGTGTGGTGAGAAAGGGCTGCCGCTCTGTGCTACATCGTAATACTTTATTAATTCCCGAGGAGGTGGGGGAGGTACAGGTATACTATCATTTCCATTTTGACAGCAGAATGTATTTCTCTCTTCTCTCCATCGTATGGCATTGCAATGATCACAGACGACACTGAATTCACCAGAGTCATGTGTCCGTAATCTTCGGTCACATCAGTTTCACTAAACGACTGTGCGTTGCACGCTATGACCAACGTTGGCCCATTCTTTCTTGGCCTAGCACGCTCAAAGTCTTCCTCCAGATTCTGACCATTAGAAGGTAAATTCTGTTTGACAGTCGCCTTTCTCCGTTTCCTCTCGTTTTCCCCTCTGTTTCGTGGGGTTAAAAAAAACCTTTAAGTTTAAGGGGCATCTTATTACATAATTAACTGTGTTAACTAATATTCCAAGGGCCAATAGGAGCAGCTGAAATAGAGCTATGTAGCATACATACACGACAAAACAAAAACCGCACTTGTGTCCGTGTTAACTTCTTTAAAAAAGTAGAACTCTGTGGCACACACACGACGAAGCAGAAACCGCACGTCTGTTCTTGTGAGCTACTCACACGCACAACAAAGCTTGCGACTGAAACAGAAGTAGTCCCCAGTAAAATATGAAATGGCTAAAGGTAAAGCGAAAACATCCGCGAGCTTCAATTTACAAGAAAACCATTAAACCTGAAAAATCAAAAGGTAGTTTCCGAACTTTGAAAATATGCCCACGTAACCCTTTGGGGCAATTATTGTCTGAATCATATTTTTGTAGATTTTATGGGCACCTGTGTAAAAAGATTTTACTGACCCCACAAACGGGCTTAGCTACATTATAATAAGATATGCATATAAAATAGTACATATTGATATATTGCAGTAAATATAGATTTACATAATATGCGAATGAATACCTTTTCCCTGGGACACGTTTCCGTATAACATAATTTAAGATTATATTTTTAAAATGGACTTCATCTGAACAGACTAATATGCCATTGAGCTTAGACATTGGCCCTTTGGGTGTCTGAAGTCTGACGCACTCTGGTAAAAGCTGCTCTCGTATTTCATTATATTGTGAACATCTGAACAGTACATGGAATTCATTTTCTACATACTTTTCATCACACTACAGGCAACGATTACTGTCGACAATACCCAACTGGAACAGATTATTTTTCAACGACAAACTGAAAGTTCTGAGTAATACAAGGACCCTTCTACCTCTTGCAGAGATAGTGAATGAGAGGTACGGTGCAGGGCTTAACGTAGGATGGAAGTCCAGGTACTCAGGACAAACGTCAGACACCCTAAAACGCCAGTCCTGGTGACTAATATTTATCAGTCTTTTTTTGACTTGGGACAGGGAAATATTTTATCACCAACATTTTGAAAAAAAAACACATGTATCCAAACCCTATTGTACATAAAAGTTTCCTCATGTCAGTGGCCCAGCTGTACCGATTATTTTGGTCATATGCATACGCTTGCAAATATAATTTCTTAGCATACCTTTTGTTATCCATTACCAGTAATTTATACCAATATTTTATTGCTCGGACGGCCTTGCAGAATTTAACATGCACCTTCTCTATTTTATCATATTTCTTCACCACCCCCCCCCCCCAATACTTCACAACCGTACAAAAGTAATGGCTTAATTTTGATGTAAAAAATTTTGAACAAAGTTTGGACATTCAAGTGCTCATATCTTTCACTTAGACATCTCACTCAGGAAGTGAGCCTTGTTGCTTTACAACATAAGTTTTCTTTACACTTTGACCATAGCAAGCGAGAACAAAATACCATCCTTAGATAGCTAAAGTACATGGTTACTTTAATGCCTTTTTTGTAAAACCATTTTTCAGAGCGCTTTAGCATGCCTCCATTTCTAAAAACAATCATCTTAGTCTTTTCCAAATTTACATACAGTCCCCACTGGTTACAATGCTTCTCCAAAGAATTGATCTTCCTTTGCATGTCTACACTATTGTCTGAAAATAAGCACATGTCATCTGAGTACATTAAATTGCGAGTTTGTTCATCATTGATTAAGGGCTCAACTCCTTTAACAACACTGTTTTTCAACATCAATTCAAATTCAGAAACATAAATATTGAACAAAAGTGGGCTAA